CTGTTTTTTTTGGAGAGTTCCTCGAGAGTCATGAAGTTTCATTTTCAGTGGCTCAGGAGCCACCATTAAATTAACATTCTTCTTTCCATTGTTTAGTAACAAGAGACTCGCAAAGCACGTTGATATATATTCAGCTGATGTAGTGATGTACAACGTTCACTGTAATTTATAAATGCATTGTGGGATGTTACAGTGCCCTCAGAATCACACTGGAATTTCATATCATGATTTGGACACTAAGAGACAAATGTCCAACAGGGATCTGTTTCGGTCGCAGCTTGTCTTTGAGTAAAGGCCCAGTCACACTATCTTATGTTAGCAGAATTTTGCAAGCGTAATGACTTTCATTTTAATGGAATTTGCCATGATGAGCAGTTTTGCATCACAGATTTCCAGAGGGAGTCACACTTCACTTTTGACACGAGAATGGGCTGGGCAATATGACAATATATATCGTTATCGAGATAAATTATGTCACGGTACAAAACAATATGCTTTTCTGTACTAAACGTCTTGTATACTGTCTTGTATAACGTCTGTACTTGTAGAACACTGACCCACTGCATTTTTCGTTACAAAGAGAGCAAAATTAGTAGTCTTGTTTTACTGAATTTAGTGCAACACAATATAAAATTATTGTGTTCACAGTTTTTGTATTTTTTAAAATGTAGCACTACTCATTCTTTTTTTTCAGATCCAACTAGTCAGATATCTGAAAAATTAATATTGTGACATATAGTGCATTGTGAAAAAATCTTGAAGTATCACATTGTTAGATTTTTGATATTGTCCACCTCTATTCACATCCTTGATCATTAGCACTGCATTGATTTGGCTGTGAACTTCTGAAGGGGATGGTGCTTTGTATACAGAATACGCAGCAACATAGTAGAAATGCCAATTTTAGCTATTTTTGATGTGACACAACCCTTTTAACACTTCATCTTCACTGACTGTTAATAAACACAAAAAGGGAAACTGTGATATGTGGTGAGTGAGAATTGTCTTAATATCTTTTGTGATTTTTTTTTTTCATTTTAGGGCATGTTAGCTAGTTAACTGCTTGCTTACTGCTATGTTAGCTCCTTGGTTAAATTCAGCTGCACACAAATCACTCCACTGTTGTCAACCACAACAGTTACCCAGGCTTTCTTGCTGTCCCCGGTGTGTAATTTTCTGGTTTAGTTTTGTTAACTCTTTGTTTTTACTGTTGACTGCACCAAAATGGTTGATTGTCACCAATATTATTTTGTCCGTTCCAGTTGCCACCTTGTTGTTGTGAGATCCCTGATTATGGTTTTAAACTGTGAGCTGTTGTTTTGGGCTCTACAAGAGTTTTGCAGAATGTTAGCAAGACCATAATACTGCACAGCTTCTCCAGTGTGGGTTAGACACGTTAGAACAACAGGACAGAAGGCAGTGGGTGGTTGGATAATGAAAAAGAAATGTGAAGATAGTAGTTGCTGTTAAGACCTGGGTGATGTCCCACTGAGAAAAATAATCATTATTCTACACATTCTCTCTCTCTGTATCTGAGTCTGAGTCAAGTTAGTTAGTAAATAATAGGCTCCCATCTAAGGTCATTTAAAAATAGCCTCTCTCTCACTCACACACTCTCTCTCTCTCTCTCTCTCTCTCTCTCTCTCTGGAGAGAATGATAAATATGTGATGGATGGGGGATAAATAATGAATCTGAAGTGACTTCACCCCTGGAAGCAGGATGTCGAAATGTTGGCCAATTACGTCATACGGACCTCTGCTGTAAAACTCTGCTGCAAGGAGTAGCATAGAACATAGACAGAAGAGGATGTTGTTTATAGTTTAGAGTGAGTGTAAATTAAGGAGTACTAATTACAGTGAACCATTAACATCTGAGGTGAGTTATGAAAGTGTTTTGTACAGTTTTTTATACCACTGTCAATGTTAATGCCAGGCTACTCTAACCAGTAAAGTCTTGAATTGCGTAAAGGAAAAGAACAAGATCTACACTGGTCATATCATCTTGAATCAGCCCTTATTGGCTCATAACTTTCACTGCCTGCCAGGGCTCTTCCAGTTTTCTACTGATATACTCCCCCAATTCAGCTGCCACCGCCACTGGCCAGATGTGGAGCCATTATGGCCCATGTTTCCCTCCATGACGACTCATGACTAATTGGTCTCCAGAGACTGTTGCATACGTGCTATTACATACAAAACGGCGCCTAGTGCCTGACAGGCAGTCAGACTAGAACAGACTGCTGCGACATGCCCTATTCAGCTGATACAATCTAAACCTGACAGAATAAACTAGTGCTGTTAAGGGGAATTTTGCACTAACACAAAAAAGTGGTTTCCTATCACAAAGTTGGTTTGGAGGACCTTGACACAGTATAGTTGTGTCAAAATGTTAAAGGCAACCAACTGAATACCCCTCCCTCCCTCACCCTCTCACCCCCTCACCCCCTCACCCTCTCACCCTTCCCTCACTCCCTCACCCTTCCCTCACCCTCCCTCCCCCACCCCTGCCCTCACCCTCCCTCCCCCACCCCTGCCCTCACCCCTCCCTCCCCCACCCCTGCCTCCCTCCCTCCCTCCATCACCCCTCCCTCCCTCCGTCACCCGTCCCTCCCTCACCCCCTCCCTTCCCTCCATCCTTTCTTGCTTTTTTTGTGCTAAAAAATAAGTATGATCGTTTGTCAAAATTTTTGCTCTTAAACTTCTAACAACACATAATGGTCAGCACCAGCAACACGCACTGATTTTTCTTTCTCCATCTTCCAACCTTTTCTTTCTCCATCTTCCAAAATTCAAGCTGCTGCTTCAGTGTAAAAGTGCAAAAGATGCTCCCTAGAGACAGTGTTTGGTTTGTTTATTCTGGGCTACTGTAGAAACATGGCTACACAATGTGGCGGCCTCTGTTGGAAGTGGTCCTGTTCCCTGTGTAGATACTCATTCTAAGCTAACGAAAAAAAACAGTAATTTTTAGTTACAGGTGATTATATACTATATCATTGTTGATTGCGTCTGGGCATCCATATCACCCACATGGTAGATTTGGTCATGGTAATTGGATTGGTTGTGATTAATTCATATAAAGACTAATTGGTTAACTGGCTATGATTAAGTCATATGTTGTGTGGTTAATTGATACGTTTTGATTGGTTAAGATTAGGTGGCTAACTGTCTCACTGAATGCTGTCTCAGTTCAGGTTTGAAAATGTGATGGAAGAAGAGAGAAATTTAACTGAAGCATTCTAATCTTTGTGGCTTTTTTTGGGCTTCTTGTCATTTGAGGCAAAAATCTCACATCTACAAACACACACTGTCTGAAGCTTTATCTATGTGTGTGAAGTTAAAATTCATGCTTGGCTGCACCCCTCGTCCTCCCCCCACCTGCTGGTTGTCGTGGTGATGATGCTAGCCGCAGGCTGGGCTTAATAATTGATAGCAGATCTTTTTGGCAGTAATCGCTCGTCAGATGCCCTCCTCTTATGGGGGATATTAGAAAATATGTGTGTGAGGTTTGTGTGTGTGTCTGTGCGTATGTGCATGTGTGCGTAAATGTAGATGTCTTTAGGGTAAAGTGTGTTTGATGCTCAGTGTACTATTTGGCAGGAAATGCTAGTTTTGAAGCACTGGGGGCTTTTAAGGTGTGTGTGTATGTGTGTGTGCATGCATTTATGTGTTTTTTGGGCTTTGGCTGATGCTCTGGATGATATTGAGGTTGTAAACTGCTGAGTTGTAGGTCAGACCAAAAAAGACCCACTGCTTTGTGTGTATGAATCTGTGTGAAGAGAGAGGCATTTAAACCTTTAGGGGCACTTTGGCTGATTATTTGTTATTCAGACGTAACAACAAATTGCATGCCTGTAATGTCAATGTATGCAAAAACTGCATGCTGTATGCAACAACTACATGCTAATAAACTGATAAGTGGTCTCAACTTTATATTGCAATGATAATTGCAATCCCAGGAAGCAGGGTGGGGTGTAAAGATGCAACTCATTCTATTATATTGAGTTATATCACATTGCTGTTTCATGACTTGCGTGTTAGCTTGGGCCTAATATATTAGCTTGCTGTAATAAACTAAGGCACATTTTCAGCAACTTTGAAAAATGTATTGAATCAAGACATCACTGTATTGTATCAAATAAAATTCTGAATCTTTACACCTTGGGATGCATGATGATATTGGTATCAGCAGATACCAATATCATCATACGGGTTAAACTCACACTTTATTTGAAGGTTCAGATTTTACAACTTTATTATTGATACTGGAATAATAATTACTGTTTTTGTGCTGTTATCCAGAAGCGTAATAACCATGATAACATAATGAAATTTTTTTTTTGTGATACTTCATTCTTGTTTTTCATTCTTATTCGTTTTAATTTGTATTGGTGTTTTACTTTAGTTACAGCCTGGCGTTAGACAGTGAGATATACATTATTAATTTTTTTTTTAATAAAAAGCACTGATGTCGGATTGGTGCTTGGCATTGGCCCAGAGATCAGGAATCAGATTGGTATTAGAAGAGAAAAACTGGAATTGGTGCATCTCTAGATATGGGCAGATATGTATTTGAATATCTCCATTGGCCCGCTATTCCCACATTTGCGCATCTTCAATACTTCTAGTGGGGTGTTCCAGTTCCATGGTACGAGCTGGATCAAGTATGTTGCTTTTTTGCATGATGCTGAATGTTTTACATTGATCAGTGCATGTCAAACAGAGTTCCATAGGTTTATAGTGCTGAGCACATTTTGCATGTAGTTAAATGGCAGTGGAGACGTTTGCCCATGGCTAACATGACCATATGGGGATGTAGTTGAGCATGGATAACACACTTTTTCTCCTGCCCACGCTTACACACAGTAGCACATAGTTCCTAATTGGCTGTAAAACCCTTGTCTCAGCAGTTGGTGAACACTTTTGCAGGTGTGTGGCTAAGCAGTTTTAACTCCCTCTCTCTCTTTCTCTTTTTTAATAATTTTTTTTTACTTTTTCTCTAGGAGAGAAAGAGCTGACACTTCATCCATCCATCCCAAAAAGTGGATCAGCGAGGCACACCTGTATACTTGTACTGAACACGGCCTTTTAGTTGGTAAGTCATGCCAGAGATGGGGAGTGTTGGCTGATCTGTGTCACGATTCGGACTCGTCCTTAAATGTTGCGCGACTCGATTCAGTCTTGAGACTTGTGAAATTTCAGCCTGACATAAAAACATGAACAAAACTGATTCCTGATTGATGTTGTGCTGCCAACCATAATGCTCTAAATGAATAAAAACGTTTGCTTCCAACCATGTCAGTTTTCATCAGTTTTGCTTTAAACAACCAGCTTTTCATTGTAGAAGGAAAAACAACTGAAACAGTTGGCTAGTGTTTAGTTTGGATAGGAGGTATACTAGCTAGAGCAGTAGCTGTTGTAGCTGAAGTCATTTCAAGTAGTTTTGGCCCTTTCCTTTATACATTGTATTTACTTTGTGTAGTGCTTCAATTTTGTCTTTCATACTGAAGGATTTTATTGTGAAAGGCTTGTTGAAGTCGTGTCAGACCTGACAGGTTTTTAGTAGGGGTTTACCATTGTACAATGCAATGCCTGCAGCAAATAAGAAGACTCGGACTCGCCCCTCAGAGACTTGAAACTCAACTCGGACTCTCACTATAGTGACTCGAGACTCAGAGACTTGAGACTTAACACGGACTTGCACTTCAAAGACTCAACTCGGACTCTCACCTCAGAGACTCGAGACTTGACTCTCACTTCAGTGACTTGAGACTTGACTCTGCCTCGCACTTCAGAGATTGGAGACTCGAGTCGGACTCGCACCACAGAGACTTGAGACTTGACTCGGACTCACATCTCAGAGACTTGGACTCATTCCTCAGACATGCGAGACTCGACTTGGACGCACATTTCAGACTTGTGACTTGACTTGCTTTCACATCTCAGAGACTTGAGACTCAACTGAGACTCGCAGCTCAGAGACTTGGACTCACACCTCAAACACTCGAGACTTGACTTGGACGCACATCTCAGAGACTCGGACTTGCATCTCACAGACTTAAAATTTGACTTGGACTCATATAAATTGACTTGAGTCATACACAAATACACACATGACTCTTTTGTGTGAGAGCATTAGTTGGGTGCATCGAGAGAGCGATGAAATACAGACAAATGAGATCTATAAAAGCTACAGAATTGTGAACTCACCTCTGAGACGGTGTGCGTGTTTGTGTGTGAGAGCGAAGATTGAAAGGGCAAGGACTGCAGATTCAGCACTTCCTCTTACCTGTCATGTGTGCACACGCACACAGATCATCGACGTTCAGTGAACACACACACACCTTTCACTTGTGCTCAGTGTATCAGTGGGCGAATACAGGTCAGCTCCCAAGTGTACAGCTGTCTCTAATTCCCTGTCTCTCTCTCTCTCTCTCTCTCTGTGTCTCTCTTTTCCTGCTCACTCTCTCTGACTTTCTTTCTTTCTCTGTTCCTTCTTTTTTAGCTCAGATAATGGTCATGATCCTTTAATTATCAGTCTCCAAGAAAACATGGAAGATTCTGTTTTAAGTAGAGATGGCTGGATGCCACATTTCTGTTCTGATGCAGATATTGTAATCTTGAGTATTGGCTCATGTACTGATCCCATAGTAGCTTTTAGATGAGCTATTTTTGCTGGGCTACCCAGCTGGCCAGCCTATGAGAGTCACTGTTTTTTACTGCGTCGTGGGTGATTGACATTCCGTCTCATTTCATTAAGATCAGTTGGCTCAGTTCAAAGTTAAGAGCTGGGTCTCTCACCTTCTAAATGGCTTTTCAGTCTGCAGCATTTCGTTTTTTGTTCCCAAAATTAATGAAGTTAGCGATATTTTCAATCATTTAATTTTCACTAAAACTCTACTCTACCTTCTAGTTAACTAATGAATTAATTGCATTATGTTTGGTATTTAACAAATATTGAATATGTCATGTTGGTAAGCAGTTTCACTGGATGAATTTCGAGAGGCAGCAATCACAGTATAGGTAGATGGGCAAAATGCAGGCAAATCTATCAAAAAGTCACCAACAAAAAAAGGCAGATAAAAATAAAAAATCAGAAGAACGAGGCACACTCTGAGACATGGCTAAGAATACATGAAAAACAACTGCCAAGAACAAAACCAAAGACAAACTAACACAAGCAGCAGGTTTGGGAATATTGAGGGGAGGGAGCTGGGATGTTTTCAGCTACAGCATCGTTACATCAACTTATTTGTTTTGTTTCAAATGACCAAAATAAATAAATAAATAAATGGCTCTTCAATGCGGGTCACCTCCCAACATTGACCAAAAAGAGCCAGCTCAAAGAGCCAACTCATTCGTGAACAACACATCACTAAGAGTCATTAAATGACTGAGTGACTGACACTCATTGTTGAAATGTGCATGCACAAAAAAACACCTGAGACAAACAGTAGGTGGCTGTATACTTACGCCCCAAATGTAGGGCTACCATGCCAAAAATGAAAGTGCACCAGAATATACACTGGAATGGTATTTTTACTTTTCAGTCACTATTTTTAGAATTATCACTTTGTAAACTCAGAAGCTGTGCTACTACCACTATAAGCCTAGGCTAGCAGCTACAGAACGAGTATTTATTTTTTACACTCAAGATGGTTCTGTATAACTGTAGCAAAGTGTACACATTTGCATGATTGAGGGTGAGTGTAAGTAGAAGTCACCTTGGTCTTTCTTTACTCTGCGAAATTTTCATGCAACTCTAGGTACTTAAAACCTACATGAAACTAAGTTGCACTTCATTTGCATAATGTAGGGTCCTGCAGTTAATTTGAAACTCAAACGCAACAGTTGCAACTGTGTAAGCTTTGTGATTCAAGTTTTGTGAAACAGGCAGTCAAAATGCTGATAATGTCAACATGTTAAACGACATCATCTTAAATCATTCATTTTACTGGATTAATGGGCAAGACAATAAATAGAAGATGGCTTACTGGAAAACTGAAAATGAGATTCTCCTGACTAACTTTATGTAAGGTTGGAAATTTTTTATTTTGTAAGGTACCTGATCTATGACAACAGACATATGTGTTTTGATGCTAACATTTCTGTAACCATCTTATATTATAACTAGCCAGCTAACTGCCTGCGTTTATTTTTCATGGTGTTATTATGATTAATGTAGTTAGATTATACCTTTTTGACTCTCTTGATGCCTCCTAATTTTACACAGAGCTCAGGTTCGTTTGGATTCCAAAAGATTAAAATAATTACACGAGGGGAGACTGAGATGTGCTCCTGGAAGAACTTGCCATGCTTCCAGTACATGGAAGAGACTGAGTGAGCGAGACTTTAGAGACAACCATAAACATTAATTTTCAAAGGCTTAACATGCACAGAACAGATTGAGACTCAGATATAAAAGATACATATATATAGATCAGAACAGATATTCAGAACAGAACTGACAGCTGAAAAAAAAAATACAAAGGTGAAAAAAATATGCAAATGTTAAGAACACTTCAACTTTATATAGCAAAACGGTACAACTTATTTAAAAAAATATGAGTTGCTAATTTGGCTAATCGACTATGTTGGTGCAGCTTTGTTTTTTAATTGCATACAACTAGTTGTGTTGTAAGTTTTATCATGTAAAGCCTGCCTTAGAGCCTGTTATTTTGCTAATAACCGTCCTAGATTGTGAGAGTGAGTCCTAAAGAGATCTAACTAAATCCGTCTTTATGGATATTCCTGACATAGCAGTGGATATAGCATGTCGAAATTATGATAATAATAAGTTGTATTTATATACAACCTTTTACAATCACAAGGTTGCTTTGCAATGCAGTACAGTAATCATAACATACAAAAGAAAAACATTAATTATGAAACGAATCCACAAATCTTTATATTTTATTATTTAATCATATTTTGTCATGGTTGTTGTTATTAGTGGTAGCAGTAGTGTGATAGAATATGTGTGTATTTATTGACAAAAAATGTATGTAGGCATAGCAGACACATAGCAGGTGGACTAAAAGGCAAATTGCCACCCTGCATATAATACATGGGTTTTTATACCTTCTACCATAGACTTATGCGTGACATAAATAGCATGCAACTGATGGCGATTTTAGCAGGCTTGCCTTATCTTAAACTAGTGTAAATTAAGCACCTAAGATGCACATTTAAGATGGCCATCTGAAAGTACTAGGGATACACTGATATGGGGAAAAAGGGCTGGTGCCAATATCCCGTATTTTTAATGTACATATCTGCTGATGCTGATACATAAACATTGAACAACATGTATACATTTTAGCGCAGTAGCCCAAGGTTGCCTAAATGTAACCTTTCTGGAGTAAAATAAATGTGCTGTTAAATATCGGTTTGAAATATCAGTGAAGTCTAAACATCTGTCTGATGCTAATAGTGGTTTACACAGTTTTTGTCAGATGATAACTAATTTGTGTTTTATACATATTTTTATATGCTGAATATTCAGTTATGCATTATGCTCAGCCACTGATTTCAAATGAAAAATGTGGTTAACACGCCTTTGGTCAGTCCAGAAAAGGTTCTGTTACGACCTTTACACATCAGACTTGGACTGATGAAGAGCTTTTAGGTGATAGTTCTAAAAGGAGCTAATTATGTATCATAGGAATACATTTTCTAAGAAAAAGTAATGCCAAGATCAGTGAAGGAATTTTGTAGATCCTTAAATTAGATAAGTAATACAAAAAGTGGAGTTAGAAAATGAGTGAAGCAGAAAAAGCAGCATTGCTGTTCTTCAAGTTTATTACTAAGAACTTTCTGGGAATCATCAAGCAGAAAATTACTGCAAAATAGTGAGTGACCTATTGACATCATACAGAGCTACTGGGTGCAACATGTCATTAAAAATACATTTGGGTTTCTTTTCTGAGAATCTCGGCTCTGTCAGTGGTGAGCATGGTGAGCAGTTTCATCAAGTCATTTCCAAATGGTGCCTTAATATGCTAACTGCTCTAACCCTCAAAAAAGACGTTCCAGAAGCAGCAAAAAAGCAACTATGTTTTTAGGAAAATTGTTAATCTTTATTTTTAATCTAAA